AAGGGTTATATGTATAGTGTAAAAGAAAGGCAAGTAGATGTATATATATATATATAGAGAGAGAGAGAGAGAGAAGAAAGGATGTACAGAAGTATGAGACAAAGTTAAGAGAGTGAAAGATGAACGGACGAGACCAGCGAGATTTGGTCAACTCGTAGGTGGAAAAACTTATCTTGACGGACATCCTCGGCTAGTGTGGCAGCCAAGTTCCAGGAAAGAGGAAGAGGAGGAGGAGAAAGACGACGATCGAGAAGAAGACGCATGGCGATCTCCAAATTGGCTGAGAACCTCGGAAAACTTTGGAACGAACACCCATATCCTGATCCCTGATTTTCGAACGCATTCGGCAAACCTTTATCTCTGTGTTTGTCTCTCGCACGGCTTACTGTGTCTTTCTGTGCGTTTGTGTGTTCTGCACGTTGCAATCTGAAACGAGAGAAACAAGAACTTGTAGGGATTGCCCCGCTTTATAATGAATTGTTTAACAAGCCGAGTGGCGTGAAGGTCACCGTTACGGTAGTCCGCGATATTTGACGATCAGTTGTTTTAGTTTCTGACATGACGTTGCAAAAATTTGATAAAATTTATTGATTCCGATAAAATTGTTTATGTTACAAATACGATATGAAATATGTTTTTCGTTGCAAATATGTACGTATGCATATATACAAACATGATTGTTTAATATTTATATCCGAATTTGTTTTTAGAAGATCTCTCTTTTCTTTAATAAATCTTATAACTTAAGTGTTTTGTTTACTCGTGTCCACGTGAATGTTTGTAATTACATACATTTCTGCCGTGTCAAAGGTCGGAATGTTTATCAATGACGCAATTAACTATCGCGGCGTGAAATTATGTTTTTATCAGTACGGAGGCATTTTTTCGACTGATAAATAGTAAAATTCCTTACGGTACGTGGTTAATTGGTCCTCAAGAATCTGGTTAAATAATTATCACTATAAACATCGTGATTCCTCGTATCGACTGAATAATCAATAACGAGTGTATATACCGATAATGATCACCATTGATAAAACAGTCGGTAAAGCTACTTTTAAAAAGTGCATAGCTTTGAAAACGGGGTTGCAATGTGAACGACAACTCGGTCGAGGTGTAAGGAGCCGAGATTATCCAGTCAACCCACACGTCTAGACGTCTTAAAGTTTTTACAGAGCTTACGAGGCGTGGTATAGCACGACTACAACGCAACGCGAGCCGATATATATGATCCTGTGCTGCCACTTTTCAACCACGCCTCAACCGGTACAAACGTATGTGTAGAAGTATACTCTCTACATTGTATGCGAAATACAACTGTTCAAAAGTTTAACTCCGTGAGTTCTATTTCACTCCTACCCACGCAAAAATCACAAACGTTCATTCATTCCTAAAGAATCAATGTACATTACGATTTACCACGATACTATCTGAAGTTAATAGATAATCTAACCTCTAAAAAGATTATCATCGTATTAACAGTAATGTCCACGCGATAATGCAACTTTTTCGATTATCGAAAGATCGAAAGACAATTTTCAGAACACAGATTCACGGATACTACAAACGTCTCTTTTTTTTTTGTTCTTAAACCTTGAACCAATTTTTTACGGTCGTTAGTCACCAAGTTATTTCGATCTGTCCGCGAAACGGTAACAATCCTTCGATTTATCAATCGACATCACCTGTTGCAGCTTTCGAGTGGCCGCGTAAGAAGTGACGCGACGATATAGGCCGATTTAACTATGCGGCGAAGTAGGTTAATTCACGTAGACAGGGTTCGTATTTCATAAGCTTTCTTACAGGTCTCCAGCCAAGTTGAACACGATATATACCATTTCGTTCGTTTAACGAGAGTTCAGTTTGAAGCTTCGTTTCTATCGAGGAAGTGTTTTCAATGTACATAACCACTTTATGCTAATATGTATGTAGAGTGCGTGCGTATTTGTCAGACTGTTGGCAGTAGGCCAAGGATTCGACCACTTATTCTTTTGACCATGAAATCATTCGCGATCTATAAAGTGCTCAAGGCATTCTTAAATTATCGCTACGGGTTGAAATATTTAGGTGATGCGGAAGATACACGAATTGCTAGTAATTTGGGAGCGCTAATAAAAGATGTAACGTTAGGTGGGAAAAAATCTGCTTTATCCATAGAGCGAAGAAAATGCTCTTCTTCAGATTTATTCGATGATTACGGGTGTTATTTATATAATGATCCTAAATTCATATAAAAATATGACAGATTAACATTTAACAGTTCAATTAGGACAGGAAGAAAAGGCGATCAATTTTTTAAATTACTATGAGTTAACTACGGTAAATTTCTTGATAGTAATATCTTTGATTGAATTCGTGTGACCTGAAAGAAGTTCATTCGCACCCGACGGAGGCAAGTGTCCTCGTCGGTGGAACTTGTAACATAAGGTGCCCTCACACTTGCATGAATGAAAGGTACAATTTCAAATTGAACAATGCCTCGTTACGTTGGATTTAAAAA